CTTGTCCCTTTTCCTTTAGTGTCCTCAGTCCTTTCGTGAGGTATGACACCCTGAAAGCATTATACTGCAATTATTAATGGTTCATTAATATAGATAGATTAGGTGGAGTTAATTAGGCATTTTATAGTTTCTGATAAGGACAGTGCTTTGCAAACCCTGAGTTTGGAAAATCAGCCATGAGGATTTAACTATAAATCCTCTTGAAGGAATTCAGAGCTTGTCCACTTTGTTTCGGGGGGGGGGGGGTGCTCAATCATCACACCAATTTTAGTGGTTGGACGGTAACGAGTTTGCTCTCATTTCTGACGCTTTTACCAGAATGTGGTCAGACAGAAAGCTCATTTTGGAGCCAAAACCGTGATTCATTAGAGAGAGAGATTCTTTAGTATCCCCGATGTGGGTTAGGGTGGGAGTGTGGCTGTTTTTCCTGACGTTAATTATCATGGCTTCGGTCGTGGACACATTAAGTCAGGGATTCAGTAATGCTTTTTTCCTAAATCATATCGCAAAATGTCTCACAGTTGTTATGTATCGGAAAGTCACAATTCAGTAAGGTTTGGAGTTGTTCCCAGCACATGACAGGTGTTAAAGTGAGTGGTGTCAGGGTCCTACCAAATAACCCAGGGGCAAAGGAAAGAAGTGCACTAGTTTCATCTCTGTGACTCTGCTGTGACCCCTGGTGACATTGCCGATTCGCAAACCCACCATCCAACACAAAGCCCGAGACGCTGTTGTAGCGCGTGTCTGAATGAGCTCGCTGGCGTCCAGGGAGCCAGACGCCTGCCGGCCCAAGAAGAAATCCTCTACCCGTAGCGGAGCTCTGCGGCCGTTGAGTTGTAACAGTCGGTGACGATGTGTGAAATTGTTCCACTCTGTAACGGAATATCGAGATTCCATTTCCTGAGAGACAGTGCCAGGCTGCACGGTGTGGGGACACAGACGGCAGGAGTAATTCAGTTTGAGTGTCAGTTCAAAGACGTTGTTTTCAAGAGCGACTGACTCACTCAGGCCTCACAGTAAACACTAGGAGGGATTCTCCAGACTGCTATTCCTGCTCTCGGGCATATTCCCAAGGTGTGTCCTGCGACCTGCACCATCTAAGAATGAGCACGAGAGGACATGCAGTAAATTACCGCACAAGTGTATTTATATGACAAAACTACAGGTCTCCTTTTCCTAAAAATATATGTTCTTATTTGAACTTATTACTAAAACTGCACTCATCCTTGCAAACCCCGCTACATTCCCAAACCCACTGTTTCACGCTTTCATTCCTAACTGAACCCATCACATCCTCACAGGCACCGGATTCCACAGACTCTCACTCCTGAACCAATTATCCAACCACGTTCCTCTCCCTTCAGTATTTAATGCTCCCTCACACACCCTACCCTGCTCACTATTGAAAAGCCTCTTAGAGTTTTCTAGTGCGCGTTATTTCCTTGTTGGCCTTCTTGGTTTTTGGACTTGACTTTTCTTTTTTTGATCTCGCCCTTCGGATGACGATTTTGGATTGTTTGCCTCTGCGGCCCGCAGAGTTCTCGGCTACGCACAGGATTTTCGGAGAACTACCTGCCGGATTCCTGACAGAAACATTGGTTGACCTTCTGACAACTAATGACCTTGCTATCAAATACATGCTAGCTCACAAATGTTAGTTGTTGAGCAACTTAAGGAATGTATTCATGTACCGAAATAGCCTTTAGTTTTTCTCGACCAAATCATGTCTAACATATATCACCATTGATCATCTGTCAATCATCAGTCATCTAGCAGACTAGTGGGTAAGCCTCCAGACTCCAGGTTGTAGGTTTGAGTCTCCATTACAGACACTGCTGTTGGACCTTGAGTGAGGGACTTTTTCTCTGTCGATCCAGTCCACCCAATTGCATAAACTAGGATCAGCATTGCTGGAGGTTAATCCCTGTGGTGGCTTGGTGTCCCCTCCAGGGCTGGGAGTCAATCCACACCATGCCCCACTTCTCAATTCACTTAATCCTACAGTAACTGGGATGACTGAAGACCCCATGAGAATGTTTTATGTTCTTCTACAAAGACAGCGGCACTGAGCTTCACTGCAGACTATTAGACTCTTTGTACCCCTTTCATCGCTTTTTTGAGGTTAGTGTTGTTGGCATCTAATTAGGAGAATAAAGGAAACCAGGAGGTGCCAAGAAATACCAGCTGAGAATAGAGATTTATAAGAAGTGAAGATCTGAGTGATAATCAAGGTAAAAAAAAGGAGCAAAAACTTATCCTAGGAAATGAGGAAGAGAAGGTGACAGACAGAGATGGTAAGGGAGGCTAAGCTTGAGAAGTAGCGAGTAAGTTGGAGAAAGAGAGACATACAGAAGGCATGCCTAAAGACAGGACTGAAACTCCTGGGGCATTTCCTTGCATACAGAGCCAGACCTATTCACTGCACATGCAAGCAAAACAGGACGTCCCTGTTCCAGACTCATCAAATAGACCTGATGCGGTTAATCGCCTGTCATTTTGGTCCTGCACAAGAGACACAAATGCACTGATGGATTAAAAGAAAAAGCACAAGAAGAACACAGAAATGAGAATCAAAGAGCTGTTTTAAATACCAGCACTCTTCCTCTCCTGTCTCCAAGTTTGGCATTTAGCAAAGAAGCCTTTTTCTACTGTAAGTCTTTCCAGACAGAGGCCTTCATTGAAGTTTGAAAAACATCACGAGGCCCACTGAAGTGGAAAGGGACTTTGGGAATGTGGTTATGCTAACAAGAAGCAAGAAAAAGCTTTTTAAAAAGACTCAATAATTCACACAGTAAATGTTATTAGTGCTTTTCTCATCTCTTTGCCAAACCCTTCATCTGCAAAGAACACATTGGCTGTGTGTTACTTTCACCCAAAAAAAAACCCCTGTTATATCTTCACTTTGCCACACAATTTTCAAATAATGTTTTTTTTTTTTTATTTGTGAAAACAATCTGGACTATCAACAATTACAGTAAATCTGATACAGTACATCATCATGAGTTTGATTTATAATTACTGTCCTTACCAATGGTGACTGAAAGTGAATCACGTGTCAGATCAATTGTCAGTGTGGGTACCTCTAATGCAGATTAGTGTCTGTGCAGGGTGCAGTGTGCACTGTGAATATGTTATGTTTATTTTATACTCTAAACACACCACTAATTCCCTCAGGCACAGGTGTAATCTGTGTCTGCAGTCCAACACATACCTCATCAGCAGGCATTTAATATACTGTATCTAGATATAAAGAATATTACTAGTAGGAGAAATGTTGCCTTTGTCCCCAAAAAAGTCTTGTTTGGTTAGACAACTAGAATTCAATAAAAGATCTTCTTATAATATTGCTATTTTTCATCATTGCTGGTTTTGGAACTAATACATTTTCTGCCTAGTCATTTATTTAGTTAATTTCTATTGAAATGTTCATATTCTTGTGAATATGTCCTGCCTGTTGACTAAATGTTACTCATGAAGGTGAAGTACAGTTTAAACCGAGCCTTGTATGCACTCGAACTCATACAATCTTCACTGTGTTTGCCAGCTATACACTCATAATTAAGCCCCACTACTTGTTTGTATTTTTTTTTTACACTTTTAAATTGTCTTGAGTCCTGGCCATGGACAGGTCTCTGAGATGATGGTCATAGAGTAGCACTGTACAAATGAAAAGTATATTGATTGATATTAACATGGAAGTCCAGACCACTTATGACCTAGAGCAGTGTAGCTTTATAGAGGTAAGATACAGTATAGTTATAATAGACATGGTCAATCGGACAGATTTATAAAAGTGATAGACAGTATGTGATCAAAATATGCATTTTTAATTGATATGTTACACTTTTTTATGTTTTGCTTTCCGGCCTGTGCTCCACCATATCCTGTTACTACTGAAAGCACTAATGACATTAAACATCAAGATCAGAAGCAAATGTTAACATCTTTGTCAAAGAAGAGATGAAACTTATCCATTACAAATGCACCCAAGCAAAGCAGACCATGAAACTCATCCTCAGTCCAACCTTACTAATCTTAACAGTGGATTTGTACAGTACTGGATAGATCCTCAGCCACACAGATGAGCTGTACAATACTGTGGACAGAGCCTCAGCCACACAGATAAGTTGTACAGTACTTTGGACAGAACCTCAGGCACAAAGACGAGCTGTACAGTACTGTGGACAGAACTTCATTCACACAGACGAGCTGTACTGTACTGTGGACAGAACTTCATTCACACAGACGAGCTGTACTGTACTGTGGACAGAACCTCAGGCACACAGACGAGCTGTACAGTACTGTGGACAGAACCTCAGGCACACGGATGAGCTGTACAGTACTGTGGACAGAACTTCATTTACACAGACGAGCTGTACAGTACTGTGGACAGAACTTCATTTACACAGACGAGCTGTACAGTACTGTGGACAGAACTTCATTCACACAGACGAGCTGTACAGTACTGTGGACAGAACCTCAGGCACACAGATGAGTTGTACAGTACTTTGGACAGTACATTAGCTGCACAGATGACTTAATTTCTTCGCCCTAGCTCTGAGCCCTGATGTCATCAGCTGTCACACAGCGCTCGGTCTTCTTTTGCCGTTTCCATGACTACCACCGAAAAAGTCCCCCGAGGCATCATTAAAAACACAACTTTTAAATCACCAAGTGCAGCATTTAAAAGCTGCTACAGAGCGCAGTAACAACACCGGGGGAGTGATAAATATTTAACAGGCAGCTCCACGCTGCTGTCTGTCCCATCTAGGGGGGGCCCTTAGGAGGAGACGACTGTTTAACATGCCTTGGACTCCAGCAGAAAAAAAAAATCAACGACAACACATATATCCCCTAAGCACACATACAGGCGCATACACACATCAAACAGGAGCACCAGAAGGCCAGGACTACCGAGGTGCTGGACGGCACCCCCTGCACTCCTGCCCTGTGGCACTGCCGTCCCAGCACCACAGCGACGAGAGGCACGCGTGACCTACCCCTGGAAGAGTCTTCTGTTCATGCAGGGCGCTCTGGGCTTTCAGGGCCGACTCTCTGGCACAGTACGTGAGGAAGGCACAGCCTGCAAGAGGAACAGAGGATATGATCATGGGCACTGGAACAGACACCAGGACTGGGCAGAGAGACGCAGGAGGAGGAGGAACAGGAGAGAGGGTTGGAAGGAGACCGAGAGAAAGCACAAGGGGTCTTTGGGGAGCTCCTCGAATGTGGCCTACACACACAAGCTGCCAGACTGCATCGGACCAGAGACCTGCCTTGCCCCGCAGATGCCTACAGGAGATGAGGGTGGATGCCTAGTTCGCTGTCACTTCAGCAATCTGGGCTTGCCTGCTTGGCATTCTGCACCTGGTCTTGCCCACCCATCAAAGCACCCCCAGAGCAAGCCAGGCTTCACATCACCCTCTTGTCATCACACGGCATGAAAAAGGTATTTGTTGCCTTAGCCTTGTAAACCATGTTCTTCTGTATTTTTACAGCCACGTTATTTTAAGATTTTAGGTGGGCGTATCCAACAACCTTGCAAGCCTATTCTCTGTGACTAGTAAATGTACTACTCTTATATGATCAGAAAGAGAGAAAGAGCACTGAAGAATAAAAATGAAATAAAAAGGGTTGGTTGGGGAGTGTAGGTACTGTACTTCTCAAAACCTATGAAAATGCAAAAAAATAAAAATTTGTATTATTATTTAGGGTATAATCATATACCTTAAAAACTCACAAAAGATCAGTTCAAGCTCTAGGAGAAAACGGCTTTTTTCCCCCGTTTTGGACTTTCTGTAGAAGAATACGAAGATGGTTAAAGCTGAGACGTGTTGGTGAATGCCATTAACATAACATCTTTATGTCTATAACGCACCAGACTGAGCCATTGGCTTCTGCCTTCACTTCTCTTACAGAAGGAGAGCTGCTCTCCTGTTGCTGTGTTTTATATCTACAAAAAGAATATGAGTCCACTTCCAAAGCATAAGGTGGAGCTCATCTTACAGTGTGAAGATATGAAATCTTGCTTGTGTTCTTTTCATAGTTCATCTGACCCATTTGGTGCTAATGGCTAAATAATCCAATGATCACATCCAGACATCTCTCGAAAGACGTCAGGCTATCTCCTTTGACAAGATGGGGACCTAACTTTATGTTTTACAAAATCTACAGTATATCTATGGTTAACACCTTATCACTGTTTCATCATGTGTTTCATCAGTCTGTTTTGTGCTAGGACTGATGTTTGTGCTTTGCTTGAAATTCGAAGGAATTTATACAGTGTAGGCTTCAGAGACCTTACTTGATTTACACTTTTGATCAAACACTACTGTAAACCAAATGGACAAGCAAAGAAATTCAGAATTTAGAAAAAGGTGTGATTTTGTGTTTATTCAAGAATAGACAGATACTATTCTGACCCATAATAATAAAAAATAGTGATAAGTGAGACCATTGCTTATGTTATTCTTTTGTGAGAAGATTAATCTCAAAACCTCACTTAGCCAGACATCTTTAAAATGTCCAGCTTGAGTGAATCAAATAGGCTTTTTTTTCATTCAGTGTTTTGTAGTGTGGATATCACAAAGACTGCTTGTTTTATCTTTCCCAGCCAATTATTTCAGAGCCTTTCATTTATGTTGCCTATTTTCTATGTCACTACCTGGGAACACGGAGAAGCCCAGCAGAGTTATTTCAGAGAAGTCGCGAGAGAGAGATAAGATAGCATCACCTGGGCTCTCTGAACATTATCCCATGTGTGTGCTGAACTGCACTCTTATCTCTGGCCTACCAGACACCCCAGAGGTATTCAGGCCCACTGATATAGGAGAAAAAAAAACCCTAACCACTGGAGCCAACATAAAAGTCTCCCAGAGTTCACTGAAGTGACTGTTCTGTGTAAAAACGCGTCAGAACTCTTCGAACTTCACTTCTAGCCACCATAAAGTGTCCAATTTTGAAAACCTTTAGCCAAAGAGGACTCACAGGCGAGTTAGTTGAGAAATGGGAAGATGATTCAGAACCAGAAGAACAGTAGTATCAGTTTAATAACTGGTCTCAAACTGCAGGATACTGATTTAATGATTACTATTCTGTGTGGGCCATAATTGCACAAAATCTAAATACAGTGGCAACAGACTACATCTAGAAGGAAATTAGTAGTCTATGCTTGAAGCGTCACTTGTTTTCTCACAGTAACAGGTACCCTGCCCAGCAAACTAACTCCTGTCAGTTATACATATCTGGGAGATGTTTCCTTTGCTACTGCCAGCACTCCACCGATACTTTCTGAACTTCCAGGAGTGAACTAAGTGTCTGGTTACTGTGATTTACTGCTAGAGGCCTCTTGCCTGTTGCTCAGAATCAGGGGCCCAGCCCAAGTACCGCAAATCACTCCATAGTTGGGCGTGAGCCAATGCACTGAACTAAGCATCTGCAACAGCCAGGGTTTTTATTAAACACAAGGAAGAACTCATGAAGCGCTGGGCCATCTGAGCAGCAGATCTGAGGAAGGAGGAGGAAATGATCAATCTCTGAAACAGCCACGGCCAGGGAGCCCGTCCTACATTACAATGGTGAGAGGGAAGAGATTGCACAGGTTGCAAGCTCTCATTAGAGAATGGGCTCCTTCATGTTGCCAGAAGACATCACTACTTTTGCTCTGTAATGGCAAGAAATCTAAACAAGGCTTCAGAGGTCTATTTTATTAATACAATTTGTTTTGTGCACATTGTATGCTCTTACTAGTTTTAAGTTGCCTTTTTGCTCACCGTACACAGTTCTGGGTGCACTGAGTGACACCTCTTTTGCAATAATCAGGCATTGCGGTTTTTGTTTTTGCTGAAGTGAAAGCTGCTGCTCTGTAAGCAAAGGGCAGTGAAATCATGCAAACATTATATAATGCTAAACTGACAGGGGGTTCGAAAAAAAGGGTCAATAAAAAATGGAAAAGCAACTCCATGGAGATTTTTCTGCAGTACAGTAACTCTTTGGCTGCTGCTTGTGCTTTGCTCATTGCCCTTTACATTTAACCATAGAAATCACAAGTGATGCAGCGCCCATTCAAGCTTAGAAACGGATTATATTTCAGGTTACCAAGCAAGCAATTCCTATCTTGTGCCTTTTGTTCTCTTGTTCCTAACAAGGTCCTATCAGAAGAGCTACTCGATGAAGAGGCAACTGAACCGCTCCTTTAAGGAAATCGAAGCAAAAGTGGTGTTTACCAGCAGCCGATTTTCAAAGAAATGTTTAAGCCTGTTATTCTTTATTCTATACACAATATTCCCCCTGTCAGACCACTTCATATTTTGACTTCTTGCAAGGTCCCGCAGTGCCTTACAAGAGACTTTGCATGATTACGTTGTGTGGCCTGTCTTGAAGCAATCACTGAAAGCTTGTAGATACTCAGCAAATCACAAGAAACACTGGGTTGTAGGAATCGGGTATACGCTATGTTTTTGTGGATGCTAATACCCTGGCTTCTTTCAAGAAGTGGTTGAAATAGATCCTCAGAACACGTGGCTACCGAGCAAACTAAATGGGCTGTATGGTCTTAACTTGCTTCCTGTTGTTTGCAGTCAAAGAGTCTGGAAGCTGCTATCCTGGTTTCATTGAAGAAATGTTGGATGAGATCCTTTGATCAATTAACCACTAACTACCAAATGGGCCAGAAGGGTCTCCTCTCATTTGTAACTGTTTTTATGGTCTTATGCTTCGCATGTTCAAGTCAAGAGGTGGCTGGCTGACTAAGGCCCATCCTTTGCACCCTATACTACTTGTATACTACAGCATGGGGAATCCTCAAGAAAGTTGATTGGTGACACTTTCTAGGCTTCAACGAGAGATGTCTGGACCACAGGGCTCACCCTGTCCTCTGAAGGAGCGCATTTCCTGGATGAGGACAGCTGAAGCCCACCAATAAATATCCAATTATCATTCAGCACTGCTTTGGGAAACTGCTTTGGCCAAGATGAAAGCAAAATCAGGATATTCCACTTTCAGCATATTACCTTCTGGTACTTGTCTTGTTTGTTCTCTGTTTAATGATAAATTCTATTTATACTGAGCTCTTGCTTCAGTGCTGAAATGAAGCTGGAGGTTTATGTTTTGAGTTTTTTTATGGTTGATTCCCACTTCTGCATCAAAGCCCTGTCTCCTCCCTTCTGTGATCGTGAACAGTCTGAAATTCACTCTGACTCAGACACACACTTATACACCAGGCCCAGGGTGACAGGTTATTCTTTCCAATGGATTGGTTACAAGTCAGTTCCTCAGGAACTTGTATAATGCTGTTTACTGACTGCTAAATCAGGGTAAAATATTAAAAAAGAATCCACAAGACTCCTTTTGATCTCAACCAAGGAAGAATCAGTGACCCACAATTAAAACGAATCCATATGGGCTGCACTGATACTTCCTCAGGGTAGCACTGGTCTTCCTAGACAAACCACCATATAAGGAATACTTTCTAAACTTGGCCTATATTCTTCTACAATATCTTTCCACTGAAGTCTGAATGCTGCAATGCCTTTTTGCAGCAGGAAGAAAAAAATACTTGCATAAGATGATGCTCCAAACAACTAATCACAATTTATGGCACCCAGCTGAGGTCTTAAATTACCCAATGCTTCTTAATAAGGTGGGAATTCTTATTGCTTTGATTTGCGTTTCAATTTACAGGACATAACACCAATCAAATGCGTAGTGAGGATTGGCCAGGCAGTAAAGCCAGAGGACATTTGATTGCTGGGACCCACACTCCAAGCAGTATGATGGGATGGAATCAGAATCCCATGTAATGATTTGGACACCCTGCCAGAGGGACTATAGGAGCTCTGCCTGTCTGAGCTACAGAGAGGTAATTAAGTAAACACCTCAGGGGGTTAGTTTTGTTTTGGGTTGGATACTGTACATATTTTCACCACTTTCAAAATGTTCTAGTTTTGAATTTGGTATCAATACCCACCCTTTCTTTCAAGAAACAGCAAGAGGAGCTACTAACTGCCAAATGGACCATATTGGCTGAGTGGCCTCCTCTTGTTTTGTAACCTCTTATTATATGCTGAAGGAAAGCAAAGACGC